GGCAAAATATTAGCAAATGTACCCAATAATAAGAGTGTATCTCAGAAATGTCTATGAGTATAAATTTTTCCCATTTTATTTAAAGATAATGCAGAAAGTTGATGAATAAAATTAAAAGTATATTTACATCTTATAAACTCTATGTCCACTATCTCCTGCTGTTTTAATTAAATAAGTAACCATGTGTTCTTGAAGAGAGAAAGACTTGGCAGAATTTTCTGGCAGACATTAATTTTTCATGGCTTTATATTTTTAGAGAGAAAAGGTCATATAAGAGATAGAAAACTTTTAAATTTATAAGAGACCAACTGGAATTAGTCTTTGCCTTTGTATATTTACAATTCATAAATAACTTTAGCAAATTGAGCTCTTACTGGTGATTATCACTCTGCTGACTTTATTAACAGGATTTTGTCCCCTGTGAAATTAAACTGTAAATCCCTCAGAAGGATGCACTTTGTGCATTTTAGAAGATTTAATGTGTTGTGCAAAGTGAGATTCAAATTCACATACTAGCATTTGTTAATTGTCTGATCTGTGCCAACCACTGTGTACAAGTTACAGCTAGAGCCAACAAAAGGGAAGAAAATCAGCAGCCTAAGACCGTCTAGATACCTTCCTTCCCTTCTGGAACATTCTCTTCCACATTACTTATTGGAGAGATTCCAGCCCTCCTTCCACAGCTCATGATAGTATTCTTTTCTTAGATTCTAAAATGCCAGGGCCAGAAAGGTCTGAGAAGTGGACTGTGTAGTGCAGACCCTCTGAAGCCTCATGCAAAATTGTGGTTGATTTCAGGAAAAGAACTCACTGATAGTTATATAGCATTCAGGCTCAGAGCACTCACTGTGATCCCCTTAGCTTGGTTCCAGAACTTCTCTGAATCCTTTTAGAACATATCCCAGCAGGAAGAAGAATGGCCAGTAGCTTAAACTGAGAGAACTTTAATAATGTATATTCCACTTTCACCCCAAGAATCAGTTAAAGCCAGGGACTATTGCAGAAGTTACAGACGTGAGTATACACCCATCTCATGTTCTTTTTTCCTTTGGTTGTGCCTGGTAGTGAATAACACACACATACACATGCTTTTGGGATAAATCCTTCCCACTTGTTTTTCAGAAGAGAAGAGGTAGATGGAAGGTCCCTAGTTGAAGGACATGCCCTAAAATCTCATCCTTTGATGGGGGTGATAGGAACTACATGGCAGGGAACTAGGAACCCATCAATCAGTGGCCTGCATGTTTCCAAGGGTATGGGGTCATCTTTAACCTAGCAGGGGAGTGTTCCAGGGAGGAAACAGCATCATCATGGCTGAGGAGACTGTTGTTGCTCCATCTGCTTGCCCCAAGAGGAGGCACCAGGCAGCCTCTCATGCAGGGATTACTAGGAGAGGTGGTTCTTCTTATCTTTCACCTCCAGGTGTTTCTGGCTATTTCACTTTCTACTCTATCGCAACCAGACACTTACCAAATGCAAACCAACACACAATCTTTTTCTAAACTTTGCACAGAAATTAGAAAACACTCTGCCTAACCAGTCTTCTTTTCACAACTTTCTTCTCCTGTTTACTTCCAGCCTTCTCAACAATGGGGGTCAGTATAAATCTTAAAGAACATGTTCTGTTGTGAAGTCTTAGTACATTCTGTCACTATGTCATATGTCAGAAAGCACCATGAAATGCTGCTGCATGATAGTTGACTAGGATTCTTTGACTAGGGCTTAACTCAACTATGTCTTGTCTCCCACAGTCCGTCAGCTCCTGATCACTGCATTCCTTCCTAATCTTTCCATAATCCACTTAATGGTTCACCTAGGGAGTCACTCAGGAGGTCATAGTTTGAATTTACTCAATATTAAACAATTTGCCACTTCTTTACATGGTGCTTCTTAAGCATTAAGGGCATATGTGGACATACATGCTAATATGTGTGCATGTGTGCACACATCCCTTTTCTCCCTAAATTAGTTTGGAAGCTTATTTACCACTGAAGATCTTATTTGGTAATCTTGTTTTCGGGATGGTGACAAATATATAAATATTGTCAGGGAGGTAGATCTATGCGGGGAATATACCTAAATACCTATCTGGGTTTGCTTCCCTGGCTGTTTGCTTTTACCATTATTAGTACTTTAATTAATTTTGAGTCAGTATGTTATAACTTTCTTCTATCATTCACTGTTTTCCAGTGGTAAGTATGAATTTTTTATTCTATTGACATGCACTCTAAGTCATTCTCACATGCAGAGCCTTAATTTGAACTTAACGTGAATGAATCACATCTACCTAAATAGCCAAGATGTGTTCAGCATTCCAAATTAATAGTCTGCTATTTTAATTTTTTTAAAACAGTTTCTAGCTCTAGCTGGAATTGTGGCATCTCAACTCTTATTACAAACACACAGAAGCCCACAGGAATCGCTGATGTGTACAGTAAGTTCCGCCCAGTGAAGCGTGTTTCACCACTGAAACATCAGCCAGAGACTCTGGAAAACAATGAAAGTGATGACCAAAAGAACCAGGAAGCAGTTGAGTACCAGAAAGGGGGTGAGTCTGACCCGGGCCCCCAGCCTGAGGATCTCAGCCCTGGAGATGGAGTGGGTGGCCCACCAGGTAAGAGCTCTGAGCCCAGCACATCGCTGGGCGAACTGGAGCACTATGACCTCGACATGGATGAGATTCTGGATGTGCCTTATATTAAATCCAGTCAGCAGCTTGTCTCTTTTACCAAGGTAACTTCAGAAAAAAGAATTTTGGGCTTATGCACAACCATCAATGGCCTTTCTGGCAAAGTCTGCTCTACAGGAAGTTCTGAGAACTCACCCTCCAACATGGCACCATTTTGTGTTCTTTCTCCCATGAAAAGCCCTCACTTGAGAAAAGCATCAGCTGTCATCCGCGATCAGCACAAGCTGTCCACTGAAGAGCCCGAGATCTCACCTCCACTGGTTAAATGTGGCTCTGCGTATGAGCCTGAAAACCAGAGTAAAGACTTCCTAAACAAGACATTTAGTGATTCTCATGGTCGAAAAGTTGAGAAGACAACACCAGACTGCCAGCTCAGGGCCTTCCACTTGCAATCCTCAGCAGCAGAATCCAAACAAGAAGAGCAGGTCAGTAGCCTAAACTGGACCAGCTCCCAAAGCCCAGAAGAAAGAAGTGAGTATCTGAAAAAAGTAAAAAGCATCTTGAACATTGTTAAAGAAGGACAAATCTCTCTCCTGGTAAGTATAATCTAGTTCAATATACATGTCAATAGACTAGAGACTCCTTTTTTATCAGCTGCATTCATTAGCAACAGAACGATGCTGCATTTGTTTCGGTTTTTACTTAATCCTTACTTGTGGCTTCAGTTGGGATATGTGACCTTCTGAGTTTTAAAATAAGAAGTTATGAGGTTAATACAGGGAAAACAAATGTCTATAGAGTGAGTGTTATTTCATTTTAACTTGGCATGAATTCAACTAAAAAGACTCTTAATCTCAAACAAAGAGAGCCCAGCACTTTCTTTAACTTGATTCTTAATGTCTTTCTTTTTGCTTTTCAAATGGTTCCCAATGCTCTCACACAGTTATTTGTGGAGATGTCAGTTCTTTGCTGATGGTGGACCTGCCAGATATGTGAACAGAGGGTCTTCTGTTTTGTCCTGATCATTATTCAGAAGAGTTGGACCAGGTTGTTTGAAAAGAATTTGTAGATAGAAGCTTACCCAAGAGCTTCATTGCCCTCTGACCCAGGTGGAGTTTTTACTTACTGCCAGCTCTGCATGTCTAGGGAGCATGAAGAAGCTTTTCCAAAGACTCTAGACACAGAGTAACATGATGTAAGAAAAGTCTGTTCTGCTTAGGCTCAGAGAGAGCTAAACTGAAATAGCACTCCATCTGTCTACATTGTTCTTTTCTGGCTTCCAGACTTGGATCAAACAGTAGCAAGCCTGAGCTCATACTATGATGCTAATTAAAGCCTCATTCAAGAAAATCATCACATCTTGGCAATGTAATTCTACTTAGTGTAAAGCCATGCATAGATAAGTACAATGTACTTTTGCTCTATTATCATAAATGCTGTTGTGATAGGGTGGTAGAATTGAATAATTTTATGAAATAAAATAAAGTAGTACTTTTTTTCTCTCCTGAAAATGTCTTTTCCATTTTCCTGGCTCTTCCCCCTAATTCTCTTTGGTTCATTTTTTCTTTTGTCCTTCTCATGTTTTCATGTTTCCCAAATGCTAACAACACCTCTCAGTTCACCCAACAATTTCTATCATCTAGTTCATAGTCAGGGGACAAAACTTCACTAGAGGTGAGAAAGCCAAAGCCATGTAGCCTCCAGATACCCCCAGGAGTTTGTTTGATGACAGCATCTAACGGTACCTATGAGAGCACTAGTAGCAGCAGTCATCATGTAGTTTGCCAAAACCAGTTCTCTGCAATTCAAGGCAAAACAAACAGGTGGAGACAAGTAGCTCATTCATTCAACAAACCTAAAACAGGGAATAAAACCCAGCCCCAGCGCTCAAGGACTTCATAATCAAGTCAGGGAGACAGACAGGGAACCCACCAATTACTGTTAATGTCATTATAGTTGTTTAGAAAGCCAACTTGAAGCCTCCACAGCTCATTGGCCCTAGCCCTGTTGCCATGTCTTGTATGAAGATCTGTCTCTTGAGAACTCATGTTAAAAGCATATTACAACAAAGAATAATAGCAAGAAACTTTGACTTATTAGATCCTCAAGGCTGCCACCAGAGCTTCTATAAGCGTGTTTCTTCCTTCCAGTGCCCAGAGAAAAACCCCACAGGGTCTTGCTCTGATTTATTGACTCAGATTTTCTAATCTTACTATTTATACAGCCACACCTAGCTGCAGACAATCTAGACAAAATTCACGACGAAAATGGAAACAATCTATTACATATTGCGGCGTCACAGGGACATGCAGAGTGTCTGCAGCACCTCACTTCTTTGATGGGAGAAGACTGCCTCAATGAGCGTAACGCTGAGAAGTTGACTCCAGCAGGCCTGGCCATCAAGGTGACTGGTTGGGGGCTGGAACCTCCACAGCTAGAAGTCAGATTTCTATGTTTCTGAGATTCCATGTGAGCTAAAGTGTTGGAAGGGAGAGAAGAGAGTGATTTGTCAAGCAGATAGCAAATGAACATATTGCATTTAAGAGAGTAGTCATTTCGGTCACTAACTGTCTTGAGATTTTGAGACTAAATTCCCAGTTTCTGTCAATCTGCTACTAAAGAGAAAGGAGAATGATAGGTTATGGTTCTAAGAACTTTTGCTATTCATAGGGACCGCAGTTTAGCTTCTTAACCACACCCAGATCTATCAGAGACTCTCATTTCTTCCTAATATGAGAATAATGAGCAGGACGAATGGGGGAAGGTGTGTTTTAAGGATGCTAGCACTCAGGAGTATTTCAGATAACAAAGTGGGCTCTTAACAGATCACATCTGCAGTTTTAGTGTCTTTAGTATCAAGAACGTTTTAGAATATCAGTGCCAAGTTAGAGTTTAGCTCTTGCAGAGCACAGTATGCTGTCAAAAACTACACAAATTATTGTTGATGGGATAGAGTTAAAAACTAGAAACTGTGAGACAAGAAAGCATGGACTTTTATAGCACTGCAGCAAGTGCCTCTGCAAAACAGAAGACATCACTAGAAGATTAGCTATTCAACTAAAATTACTTTTAAGATCTTTGGCAAATAAATGTAGAATTCAATCATATTTATTAAAAAGCCAGAAGTGACATCTTGCAGTTTTGCATATGTACTTTGCATTACATAATAGTTATGTCTTCTAAAAGCTGAATAATTGTAATTTTTATAAATCAAATTATATTGAAATTGATGAGGGGAATTTATTAGAGAAACCTACATGTGAATTCACTAAAGAATGTTACATTTAAAAAGTAATCAACTGCTGTTCTACCTTAATGTATCTTTCATGCAAACATGATGTGTTTTTAATTTGATGATTCAGCCAAGTTTTATACATTAAAAATAATTTCTATTTTATTTAATTTTGCTCAGTTAAGCAAAGTAATTAATAAGATATACTTCAAATCTATCATAGAAAATAATTTTTTAAATAAAATAAATCTATGACCTAGTGGGTATAATTTTCCTTTGGTTATAAATGATAAGATGATGAATTAAGAACTAAACTGCAGGCAACTATCATGAAGAAAGATAAGCAAATGTAAAGTCAAGATTTAATATAGTTGAGCTTAACAAAGTGTACCAAGTTTACCAGGTACTGTGCTCAGTGCTGACAATACAAATTCGTATAAGTCATAGTGTCTACTTTTAAGGAACTAATAGCTGGTGGGTGAGACTGGTAAGTTATCAGTAACACAAGTGCAGGATGGCAAATTTGGGATATAGTCCTGTGACAGAGTCCTGTAGACATCAATGAATATGTGTCAGTGATGAATAAAATATTCTTGCAGTGTCAATCAGTGCTGAGATTTGTCTTGCTGTTTTCTTGTTTATAAAATACAGTTCTTATTAGTCTCCCTAATGGTAGATTATTGAATACCTCCTAATTACATAGGTTGATGAAAACAATTTTTTCTTAATTTATATGCCTTAGGGCTTCTTTTGATAGATTAAAAATCTCTGAGTAGAAGGTACATAAGAAATTTCATGGGCATTACACCAATCTTCAGCATAAACACCTTCTATGATATCCATAATAAGTTTCAATTAATTCTTATATTACTGCAGTCAATATAAGATTGCCATCATACAATCAGTGTACAAACTTAAAGAGCAGTTTTTCTTCATTTTAATGAAAATATTTCAAACCCATAAGACTCAAAAGCTTTTACAGATTTGAGGCCTCAGGTTTTTCTTACTTTACTTCCAGACAATGTTGTTTGACTGTTCTGTTCCTTTATTCTAGAATTTACAAAAGCAGTAAATACAAATATTTTCTAACAAGTGCTACCCTCTTTGGAAATCTGTCCTGACAAATATTTTTGTCTCAGTCCATTCAGTGTATTTTGATGAACATTGATGATGTTGAGAGAGTTCTAAGGAGTCATTTTGTTTTAGGACCTTGTTTTGAACACCAGTAACCAACTAGTGGTGTTTCACCTCATTAAGCACAGTTCTGAGGGCCCTGCTGTCATGAAAGACAAGGTTGATACAAATGGGCAGAAGCTGCTAAGATAATATGACTTGGCTGACAGGAAGCAGAGTTAGGGATAAAGTATCAAATAGAAAGATTACTTGAGAACAGGGGCTTTGAAGTCATACCAGGGCTTAAGAACATCTCTCCCTCTCTATTAAACTCCTGGAATGGAACATAATAAATTCTGCCAGTTACAAGCAGAATTTATTGACTACTTCTGGGCTGCCCAAGAGTAGATACTGTGGGAGTTCAGGGTATTATTGAGTTTTCTTTAGAAATGATTAAGCAAAGTAATTGGGAAGAAATATTTCTAAAAGGTGAGAGCTGTCTGTTTTCTAAAATGGGACAGCAGAAGAAATTATTTTAAGACTTAAACAGTCTTGGAATGAAATAATCTTAATTCCCTTTTCATTTCTCATTCAGTCCTTTGAAGCAAAGTGTCCATCCGGGAATAACATGACTTCAAATACATAACATTATACTCCCTTTGAACATTGGCAGGCAAAAATCTCCCACTAGAATTGTTTGTTTGTTTGTTTCTTAGTATGTATATTTATGGCAAATAATACTTATTTCAGACTTGCAGTGGTGATATAATATTTCCTTCTGCCTTTCTAACAATATTTTATTTATTTTAAATGTTGCCTCCTTGAATAACTAGACCTAACACACATCTAATCGAGCACTACCCAATAATAGCAGAAAACATATTCTTGTCAAGTACACATGAAACATTCTTCAGGATAGACCGTATGTTAGGGTATGAGATAAGTGTCGATACGCTTTAAAGGATTGAAATACAAAGTTGTGTCCTTCGATCATAATAGAATGCAATTAGAAATCAATAACAAAAGGAAATTTTGGATGTTCATAAATATGTAGAATTACATGTCAAAATAAATCAATGTGTTAAGAAATCACAAGGAAAATTTGTAGATGAATGAAAATGAAAACATGACATACCAACACTTACAAGATGCAACTAAAGCAGTAATTAGAGGGAGACTGGTAGCTGTAAATGCCTCTATTAAAAGAGGAGGAGAGAGAAGTGGGGAGGAGAGAGACCTCAAATTAATAGCCTAATCTTCCACCCTAGAAAACTAGGAAAAGAAGAGCAAGCTAAATCCAGGGCAAGCAGAAGAAAGGAAATAATAAAAATTAGAGTAAAAAGAAATTAAAAATAGAAAAATAATAGAGAAAAATCAACAAAATAACATTTGGTTCTATGAAAATATTTTTAAAAATTGATGAATGTATAATTAAGGTAAACTGACCCAAGGAAAAAAAAAAACAGTAGAGAGAAGACCTACATTACTAAAATCAGAAATCAGAAACGTTGTCTTACATTTCTGTGTTCTGTGTAAATACCAATTTACTTAAACTGTCTTGCCTAGTAAATGATCAGTGTGCTTTCTATTCCTTTCTTCATTTAGGAAATACGAAGCATATTGTATTAGTGTGTTGTTTTTTGTTGTTGTTGTTTTTAATCCTGATAGGAAATATTTAACATGCTCAAACTGTGAAATTTAAGGAAAGTCTGTAATTAAGGGATTATACATAAAATGATGGTTGAGGGCAAGGGAGTTCGTAAAGGAAAGTGCAGTATCCTGGGCTCTCTAACAATGAGGACACAGTTACCTCCTTGGGAAACTGTGGGAAAGGGAAAGGAGTGGTTATAAGATAAGAGATAGAGAAAGCTGAATACAAACGACTGGCTTACTTTTGAACTTTTTAAGGGATTCAGCTGGCCAATGGCAACCCCATAGACGGGGCCTCAAACTCACTCCTTTCCTGATCTGCCACTGGTCTCCATCAGCCAGATCCAGCCAGAGGGGCAGGGAGCCAACTCACACAGACCAGCCTCCCAGGGAAAATACCTCAAGAGAATAGAATCTGCATGTAAATAGTTGGGAGTTCCATTATCCAAATGGAATAAAATGAAGAATGAGCAGATTACCTCATTGTCTTTCTTTCAGAATAGATTTTTACCCTTGAACAGTTAAATGATAGAATTCTAAAATAAAGAGAAAATAATTCTATTCTACTAATTTAAATGCTACCCTCAGTGAAGCCTCCTCTGGCTCCCTGCCAACCATACCTCTTTTCTCTTGGGCTAAGATCCCACAAGCTGCAAACTAGGAAGGTGGTTGAATGTTCCATTTGTCTGACAGAGTTATTGTGAGAAACTAACAGAGCTTTCTAACAGAAGGTAACAAATATTGCGTGCTTAGTAAGTTTACAGGATTTATCTCATTTAATCTTCATTGTAACTCTGTAAGGTAGTTACTATTATCCCTGCTATTTCACTATTTCACAGATAAGAAAATTTGAGTATCAGAGAGATAAAGTAACTTGTCCATGGTCTTGTTACTAAGTGGCAGATTAAGATTTAAATCCATGCCAGAATCTGGGTTTTAATCACTAGGATATCTATATCGACATCAATATCCATATCTCTAAGTGGTAGGGAACGTTTTCTACAGATATGTATGGACTATATTGTAGCTATTTACATGCCTTGATTGCTTTTTGAGAGAAGTTTAAGATTCTCAAAAATTATGAGAAATGTTTTAAAAAGTATGACAGTTAAAAATCCTCACAAAAGACTGTAAGAAATTCCTACTCTTTTTCCTGCTTACTTTTACTTGATCCTAAAGATCATGAGGGTTGGTTTCCTTAAAAATGTAAAAGTTGAGGATATTTTACTTTCTGTATCCATAGTTATATTATTTGTGTATAATAAATCATAATTTCCCTTTTTAAAATTTTTTAATTTGCCTGATCGCTTATTGAAAATTTTAATTTTAAATATTTGTTTACTCATTTTTCTTTAAGAAATATGATTCTTTGGGGATTGGAAGATAGTTGTACGTCTTATGAAGTTTAATTGAAGAATACTGATTAACTGACTGTAACACGTGTTGGCTTGGTTTTAGAACAACTAAAATGCTCAGATGATGCTAGTGGTGATGTAAAGTGGGCACTCACTTTAGATACTGGTGTGATGGCTTTTTATTAAGTCAAATATACAGCTACTTTGCAACTCAGAAATTCCAGTGTTTACCCAGGAGAAAGAAAAGCATTTATTCACAAAAAATATTCATAGCCACTTTATTTATAATAATCCTCAAGTGGAAACAATCCACGTCTATCAATAAGTTATTGGATAAATAAATTATGGTATAATTCTACAGTGAAATACTTCTCAGCAATAGAAAAGGAATAAATTACTGATACAAGCAGTAGCTAGGATGAATCCCAAAGGCCTGCTGTATAAAAGAAGCCAGACACAAGACTACATACACTAATCTGCTGTGACAGAAATCTTATCAGTAGTTGTCTGGGACAAAGGTGGTGTAGGTGAGAACCAAAGAATACTAGAATACTTTTGTGGGTAATGGAAATGTTCTTTGTCTTGATTGAAGTTGTAGTAACAGAAGTATACATACTTGTCAAAATACATCAAGCCATATACTTTAAAAGATTATATTTTATAATGCGCAAATTATACCTTACTAAAGTGAGTTTAAAATAACTGATTTCAGTTATGAAAATGTACTTAAATAAAAATTCTGCAATTGATTTAGACCCAAATCCACAGATCAGGAATATAACATAATAGGTTATATCTTTATAACGTAAATAAATTAAGCCAGATATAAATGCCAAAATTTGTATGATTTCTTTCCTTGGTAAAATTACTATCTTTAATGTATTTTACAAACCTGAATTACCTTGAATTTGTGTCTCTCTTTCTTTTTTAAAATCTAGAATGGTCAGTTGGAGTGTGTACGCTGGATGGTGAGCGAAACAGAAGCCATTGCAGAACTGAGTTGCTCTAAGGATTTTCCAAGCCTCATTCATTATGCAGGTTGCTATGGCCAGGTATGAAGATGTTTTTTTAAGTATCTTCCCTTTGCGTATCATCTTACTGCTGTTTTGTTATTAGCCCTTCAAAATCCAAACATAAGAAATCATCAAAAATGTATCCAAAGGTATATAACCAATGACATTTGTTGTTGTTTATTAAAATAATCAAAAAAGTTTACAACAACCTAAATAAATATTCCATGGCAGACATTGGATAAATAATTAGGTTACATCCATTGATAGCATTTTATGAGAAAATGTTCATTATGTAGTACTAAATAAATATGTATGATACAAAACTGGTCCTATAATTTAGCACCAAATTTGCATTTTGGAGATAAAGAGAAATAGAAAATAGTACTAAAAAAGATTGTGTCACATTATATGTATAGTAGTTATCACTCAGAGTAGAAGTACAAGTGGCTTGTTTTCTATTTTTAAAATTCTTCAGTATTTTCCAAATTTGTTACAATAAACACATTTAATATTTATCAAAAGGAACAACAGTACATTTTCTTGAACCCAAAGTTGAAAGGAAAATCTTTATAAGACATTAATCAAGGCAGTTTCATTCAATTAAAGATGAATAAGCACATTAACTAGATGGCTCTCAGTTGCAATCAATTTCCACATTAGGAATTCCCAACATTAATTAGTGTACACAGATCACAATCAAGTGTATGCAGTTTAAAAAAAAATTACTACCTCCTTTTGCAGAATGTGACTGTAAATTATCTTTTTAAAAAATTGAAACCACAAAATATCAATCTCAGTCTTAAAAATAATAGTACTGTGTTAAAATAGATTTAACTGTATTTGTGGCAAAGAAAATTGCTGTGGCAAAGAAACTGCATTTAACTGTATCCCCTTTAGCTTCATAAACTCTCCCAGTAGAAGTAAACTGTGGTATTGTCAGTAAGAGATTATACTGTTCCAACTATGACAAGCTAAGTTCAAAAAGTAGACAAGAATATTAATACAGTCTTTCTTTAGTGGGAGTCATGCTTAGGGATAGTTTATTTTGCTCTGTGGTAACTTCTGCTTGTGTATGTGTCTATGTGTGTGTGTGTATTATATGTATTATATAAAAACATGTTTTTATATATTATATATACATGTAAAATGTTTCCTATATGTACCAGGCACCATGCCATTGGATTTTTGTGTACATTATCTGATTGATTCCTCAAAACAACCCTGTGGGACCTTGTTGTTTTTACCCCCATTCCATAGATTAGGAAACTGAAGAAAGAGAGTGAAATGACTTGCACATGATCTAATGGCTAGTAAGAGCACCAAGTAGACTTCAGCTCAGGCGCTCCCACTTCATTCAGGACCAGATCCCGTTTTGTCCCCATTTGTACTGAAAATGTATGAAATTGTTTGTAGGGGCACTGATATAGCTGAAGAAGAGTTTTTGCAGTTTTATCTAACAATACATTATGGTATTTAGAGTGCTTCAAATAACTCATTGAAGAAATTTGCAACCGTACCAAGTTTACGAAATGGAGAAAGGAGCAGGCCCAACATTAAAATTTGTAAAAGCCACTGTCTTTGAAATATTATCCTTTCTCTGTGTTCTTTGTGCATTGCACTTACTAGTCCCCATCCACAGTGTCCTGAAAACAATGAATGCTAGTTAATAAGGCATGACGTAAGGGTGCAATTTTTTGCTTATACAGACGCTCCCCAACTTAACAATGGTTCAACTTACAATTTTTCGACTTTACAGTGCTGTGAAAGAGATACGTGTTCAGTAGTAACCACATGTCAAGTTTGAATTTTGATCATTTCCAAGGCTAATGATATGCAGTACAATATTCTCTTGTGATGCTGGGTCATGGCAGACACAGCTCCCAACAGCCACGTGATCACGAGCTTAAACAACCAATACCCTACAGTGTATTAAATGCATTTTCAGCTTAACATTATTTTCAACTTAGGATGGGTTTATCCATCCATAACCCATTGTAAATCAAAGAACATCTATACTGGAAAAGGAGAGAATAGGATTGTCAAATGACCAGAAGAATTTGATCACTGCTCATCTTCCTAATCATTTTCAATCTAAAAGAGAATTGTGTTCAATTGTGTGAATAGTTATTTCATGTCCCCGATTTCATTTGCTTATATTAAAGCCTAAAAAGGAATTTTAAGTATCAGTAGAAAGGCTGCCCGCACTTTTGGTGGAGCTTGCCAAAGAAAAGGAGGAAAGGTTTGCACGGCTGTTCTGAGACTCTAAGTAAATAATCGGGCATTCAGCATTCTTTGTCTTGGGAAATGTTGATTATATATGCCAGTTTCTTTATTCAGCTCTCACAGCAGGTTTCTCATAATTTTGAAGCCATTGGGACTGAACAAAATAAAGTGCCCTTTTTCTGGGACTGGTTGGGTCACAGTATAACTTACTTGGTGGGACTAGAGGAAAATATGGAAATTCATGACCTGTTTGAAGAGCTGTGTCAAATGTTTGCTTCATGCTAGTATCAATCTTCAGGTTGTTATTTCAAGATGATAAGCATTTTTATGACCTAAAATACAGCTGTGAGGGGGACAGTCCAGCAGCACCCTTAGGAGATCATTTTTACCCAAGTGGAAAATATAGAAGCCCATTAGAACTGCAAATTCTGTCCAGCCATCCTACATCCGCCACAGCCACTTATGTAACAGATAACCTGTGGAGATGCTGAACTTGGAACCATTACAAGCGTAATATTTTCACAAGGAAGACTGTTATTGAACAGTTTTCTAATGGATTCAGCACATGCAAGTTTTCCTACATCCAGCAGGCATTTGAGTGTGTCCTGGCTTTGTTTCTTTGGTAAATGCCTCTGGAAAGGATAGCACAGAGGAAAATTCCTCTCTTGGTTTATTTTAGTCGCTCTCTGCCCTTCATATAGATTCCTAAAGAATGGGCTCCATGTGACTCCCAATTTGTGTCCTTTTTCTTGTAAAAATTACCTTTAAAGACTCTAGTACTGCAGGGTAGCCAGCAGTTTTTAGTGGTCTCCTGGACTGATAGATCCCTGGGTAATAGAAATTGATTTTCTTCATCTTGACACATGAAGTCTCAGAGGGTGCAATTATTTCATTGCCTGACTGTACCTAGCAGAACTAGTCACAGGGAATGTGAAGGTGGAAGCCTCAGCAGGGACACCCAAGGAATAAGCAGGGAGTGTCCTCGGATACGCCTGCTTTGCTGTCCCTTGAGAAAGATGTCGCTGGCAAAACAATTGGAATGGAATTATCTCAATTCAAAGCTACTGCCTGTGTAACTAGGGCTGTTTTATTCAAACATGAAGGTTCAGTTCTTCTAGTCCAGGCTCTCCCAGCACAGCTTCCTGCCCTCCACTGCTTGGAAGCCTCTGCCTGGTCTGCATTGGTCATTAGTCCAGTGGGCTCTTCCTGCTCTGCATTGATCATTAGTCCAGTGGGCTCTATGTTACTTTCAACATCACACCTGTGATTCCTTTTGTTTCTGAATCATTCATGTGACTTTTAGTCAGAAGATTCTTCCACAAAAACAACCTGCATAATGGCATGGAACATTTACTAAGAGCACCTTTGCCTATACTGTAGTTATTATTCTCCACTTTAAATGTTTGCCCTAATACAGATTTTTTTTAAGCACACTTTTTGAAAAAATAAAAGACTCAGCAATTCTTGCAAGTCGTCATGAGCAGTGGTGGACATGCTGGTGAGGGGGGTGTTCCCACAGGCTGTGTTATTGTTGTTTTTCCACAATTTACTTTAAAAAGGAAAAATATTCCCCTGCCTTTATTGTTTTACTGTCATAGGGAAGTAAGTCAACAGTACTGAAAGTGCTGCGATTGCAGATGAAAGCAAAATAGAAAAGTCTTTGATTAGCACACATATCCATCTGTTCTCCAAGTTCTGATCTTGACAGAGCATAACTGACACAGAGCTCCACAAACCCACAGACTGACAGGCAGTTAGCTGTGATTTCTTTGACTTAAGGGGCACAAAAGAAGCATGTCCTTTACAGAGTCAGGGGTCATGAGGGGATGAGCAACTGGGGATATCCATACTCAAAAGACAGAAAACAGAGTCACGAAGAACATTGGTTCATATGGCAAGCTGTCTCCATTGTCATCCTATCCTTACCACTTACTAGTTCAATGTGTTAGATATTTTAATTTTCTTTTTTTAAAAAAATAGAGAAAATAAAAGAATAGGTCTCCCTTGACCTCAGTTTCTTCGTCTGTGAAATGGAGATAATAGAACCTTCCTCACAGTGTTGATCTGATGACTAAGTGGGAAAAGCCACATTGCCCAACACATAGTAGGCACTGGATGAATGTTGGCTGTTATGACTATTGAATCTCCTCCAGCTTATTGTCTGTATTTCTGTCAGTATTATTCAGTTTAGTAATGTACAGGAGAAACTTGCTACGGAATTATTAAGGCCATAATCTGTTTAATCCATTCTTGGATGCACTTTATTTCACTTTTTACCATCTTTTGATTCTACATATGTCTTATAATACATGACATTATAAAATTATTGCTGACCTTTATTTTTTACCTTTTTACATCTCAAAAACTGGAAGAAGTCTTGCAATAGTTGGCATATTAGATTTGATAATCTATGATCACAAAGCTAACTCCTTTAAAACATGGATTGCCACACAATATAGATTTTATTGATACCAGCCATAAACCTGTGACATACTTCTCAGTTACATTTTTTACTAGAATTTGTCCAGCAAATCTCATAAATCACATGAGATAATTGCCTCTTTAAACAACTTGCATGGCCCTTAGGAACACATAAAACACAACATTAAAGCAGGTTACAAAAACAGCAGGAAATCCCCAGAAGAGGAAACTGCTGAGGGAAACTACATGACAGAAGTTTTCAGTCAATAGATGAAGGTTGAGTGGATAGATGGATATTTGGGTAAATGATGAAATGCAAGTTGGAGAGGCATTTTGTGAAACAAATGATACAGAAATCTTTATCCATTTGACTTCCTTAGATACTCTCTGAAATCAATACTTATGGGAAAATGAAGGTCTGAAGTTACATCCATCCTTTAACATCTCCTGCGTTAGACACCCACACTGAGAGAACACATACAAGAGGACTAAGAGGGGAGGGGGACACCATTACATATGTATCTAATACACATTCACATTAACAAGCGCCTTCTTAGCAGGAGGAAATACCCATATTTGTTTTGTCCTTCTTAGGAGGTATTTTCAGATAGTCACTTTGAATTGTAGGACTGTGCATCTCCACAGGCATGGTCCCCAGAATCAGGGCAGGATTTATCTGTGAGCAGATATTAAATATGTTTTTACCAAAACCAAGGACTCTAGCCATCTCCACATCCCCCTCAAAAACCCTAAATGTTTGTTATTAGAAGACCAGGTATATAGTGAACCCATCATTTTGGGAAGTACTTCTCTACATGGTATAATGGCAGATTTTGATTTCCATATCATATCTCAGTGGACAAGCCAATTGTACTTTATTTTAAATTCTTATGCTTACTCTTAAATTGTTTAATATAGAACACAAGACCGGATTTGAGGCGCTAGGCAAAGCCTGTCTTGTTTTGAACAATCAAATGATGGTTCTTGCTACAATCTTTAATTGTAAGGAAGAAGAGTTATCCATGCCTTCATAGGAAGGGAAGGCAGGTTATTGTAACAATACAGGTTGAACCTGACTTGGAGAGCCCTTAGGAGCCAAGGCAAGTTTTGGCTAACACAGACCATGTGTGTGTCTTGTTGTCCCAGATTATCAAGCTCCTGAAAAGTCCAAGGTCCCAGACTCTCCCCAAGATTTCCACAGTGGAAACATTCCTACTCTTATGAAGTGCAGTATTCCATTGCCTATAAATAACCCCACTACTAAAACTACAGCACTGTGATTTTAATAAACAGCATTTTTTGTGTGTGTGGAATAGACAAACCCACCATAATATTGGGGCCTGAAAATGTGGAATAACTTCTAACAAGAAGATACATGTAAAACCATTCTCAATATCTTGAACTCCTCTGAGCTTTACTTGCTAAAGAAAGAAGTCGCTAGAATATCTGGAACTACAGCAGGTCCTTGAATTAACCTGGTTTCTTTCAACATCATCTTCCTATAATGTTGGTGAGAAGAAAAAAAAAAAAAAAAAAGTTCCCAGCCAGGGCCACTGTCTGTGTGGAGCCTGCTGATTCTCCATGTCTCTGCATGGGTTTTCTCTGGATACTCCAGTTTCTCTCACGTCCCAAAGATGTGCACGTTAGGTGAACTGGTGTGTCTCAGTTGTCCCAGTGTGAGTGAATGTGTGTGGGTGTGAATGCACCCTGTGTTAGGGTGGTGTCCTGTCCAGGGATTGTTCCTGCCTTGTGTTCTGAACTGCTAGGATGGGCTCCAGCCACCCACAACGCTGAACTAGAATGAGCAGATAAACAATTATCTTGTTTTTATTAGTCTTTCTTAAATGTATAGCTCACATTTATCTCAGTATTTCACTTTAGAAGCATTTGGTCTTTATTTAGAAGTTTGGTGCTGTTTTTGTGACCAGAAATATGTCATAGAAACTAAACTCTTGTTTATGTCTATTGACCTATGGCAAAATTAGTTTCATTGTACTTCATTTTGCTTAAAGCTGCAGTTTCCAAGAACCTGAACCTGGCATCAGATGAGGACTTACTGTATATTATTATCCTCTCCCTCAGTTTTCTGACTTATAAAATAAGGCTTTTTGAATTGGATGATTCTTTGAAATCTCTCCCCTCCACATTTTTAAGAGTTCATGATTTAATATCATGAAGCGAACCAAATCACCACAAGCTTGAGAATGCCATTGAAGAGGATTTGTTCTGCCTATGATGGGGCTATCTTTTTTCACTGGTAGAGGCACCATAACCTGTCCTCTTGCCGGCTCCATGTCTGAACCATTAATCTCAACCGGTTGGTTATGTGTTTTATCCTGAGATACTTCCATTCATCCAGATTTTTAAGGAGTTAAGATCACATGGTATAATCATCTATGTCCAATTAAAAGTAAGCCAGTATCTTCCCCCTACCTAATTAGAAAAAACAAAGGAACTGCTTTTACCTTAGGCAAATGAAACATCACCTGCTCTGGTCCAAACATCAGCTCCAATTTTCTCTAGATTTGCCTTTGAAGAAGAGGGCTAAGCACAGCAGCACCTCTTTATCCAGCTTCTAACTCCCAGCCATAGCGCCAGGCTCTGCCTCTCCCTCATTCTCTTGGGACCCTGGAGGGTTTCAGTTTCCACAAGGTCTGTCTGCTTTTGCGTTAACATTCACCCTGATTTGCACCAACATAGATTACATTGTTCTCACCACGCTCTTTAGGGGTCTTACTCCCTGGTGCTCATTTAGAAAAAGAGTGATGCGAATGTTCAGTCTGTCCCTGATGTCACAGATGCCTTCCTAAACAGCGCCTTGTTCCTCCACATAAGGGGTGAAACATTAAAGGATTTGGCTGTTTTTATCCCACATTCCTTTAGCAGATTAGTTGGCATGTTCAGAAGATGAAGGCAAATTTAATCCAGAAAAGCGTAAAAGTTCATGACCAGTCCGAGCAAATAACTGGAAAAAAAATCCTTTAAAAGGCTAAGAAGAAAGAAGTTCAAGGCTATTTCAAACACATGATCATCTTTTTAAATGTCAAATTCCACCCACTAAACTTCATGCTGTTGTTTTTACCACTCTCATATTTTTTTAACTTTATATTTAATTCTTCTATTTTAAAACAGTGAAATCCCATCCCCCTGCTTTCTCCAAAGGCCAAGCATAACATGAAAATACCACAGAACACTCAGTGGGTAAAATGCAAACAGATTATCACAACACATACTGTGACTGCTCTATGTCTTTGCTTTTGAAATGTTTGTGTTCCAAGCTTTTGGTTCCCTTCCTTTAACATGAAATAAGAGAAATCTTTACCTTAAGATACCAACACCACCACCAACATTTGGTCAGAAAAATCAAAAGGGTCCATGTTTTATTTCAATCAGGTTATCTTACACTTGGCAATTTAAGGTATTACTTGTTTTTATCAGCCTGTTGATTGCAGGAAGTGTGGATTACGCAGTCATGGTTGAAGAATTATAAACTTAAAAATAGAAACTAGTTCTAGTAGTCCAAGGTTGGATGCTAATATTCTTGAAGGCTCCAGGCAGTGTAACACAGCAGCAAGAACATTGCCTTGGGAGCCCTGGAAGCAAAAGACATGGATTCTAGCTCCAACTTTGAATCTGTCTAGCTGTGTGCCTTTGACGAGGCATTCAAACTTACTACAGACCTGTTTTCCTATCTGTAGAGTAAATAAGTAAATCAAGAGCACTTTCAAAAAAACGTCCTCCTCTTAAAATTCTCGATGTTGTCCTCTTTCATTCATTTCAGTCAGAAATTCAGGATTTTCAATTAATACTGAATGAGAATTTTCTCTTGCTATGGTAAGCTTGGTTTTACCTAAGCTTCACAAATTAGAGTATTGTTTTCCTCTGTATTTTTATCTGACTTCTCTACAATATATTACATGAATTCCAACTGTCTTTGTGTTTATAGGAAAAGATTCTTCTATGGCTTCTTCAGTTTATGCAAGAACAGGGCATCTCATTGGATGAAGTAGACCAGGATGGCAACAGTGCTGTTCATGTAGCCTCACAGCATGGCTACCTTGGGTGCATACAGGTACACAGGTCTTGCTATTTTGCAAAGAGAAATGAGTGCACCAAGTATTAAACAAAACATTGAAATTCTATTCACTAGGAGAATGTCTGAATTAATTCACCTTTTGTATGGTCATAGACAATAAGGAATTCTTATTCTATTTGTATTTTGAGAAATCCACACAAATGTAGGCATAAATATCTCTAAATTTTCCCTTTGAGTGTCCCAGGCTGTTGAAAGGGACTTTTCCTGCTCCCTTAACACTGCTCTAAAGCCCCAGTGCTGAGGAAAATAGACATTAAATATCCCCATATTCTCAAAGCACCAGAGAAACCACCACCAGGCAGACACCTCTGTCTCTCCAGTGCAGGCTGCTCTTGCCTTCATGAGTAAATCTCACTCTCCCAGGTATATGAAGAACAAAACAGATTTTTCAGGAATGGATTAGAATTCTTTATGGTAGGGAGTTGCAGGCTAGAGAGAGAATGTTGTGGTTCCCCCTTTCTCTGTGTAGGACTGAGCTCCTCAAAGCATTCAAAAGGTCCAGAATTGTTTGGGGGTGGATTTATATATTGATCCTCTCAGCCCTTGGGCATGCTAACCAGGGCCTTGATGGGCCAACCAATGCACCCAACAGCCTCAAGTAGCCTTATCGTTTTAGCCTAACTTGCCTTCCAAATATTGTCACGTCCAGTGTGTGCAATGATGTCAAAAAGTTGGGGAGCAGAGCCACAGGAGAGGGGAAGGAGGTTTGTCCCCCTGCACCAAGCCACATGAGGGGTGCTCCAAGAAACCTCCCTAGAGAGTGTGGGGTTCCTATGGGAAGAAGGGTAGCATCTCATCCCTCAGCTGAATGCAGAGCTGCACGAAGCTGGGCCAAACCCAGAGCTGCCATCGGAGTAGTGCATGGCAGGAGAGCCCAACGGGGATCTCCAGGAGTGTGAAGTATATAGACCCTTCCACCTAGAAAATGTTGACGTCCCTCAGTGACAGAGCAAAAAGGGAGGATAGCTGAAGGAGGAGTAGCAGGTAGAAGAAGCATGACAATGTGAGGAAAGGAAAGGCTTTGAGCTGGAAACAAAGTCCAAGTTTAGACTTGGTCTACGATTTCATTTACAGACATAATTACCAGAATCAGACCAGTTATACCATTGTTATCATTGAAAGCGACCCAACATATATGGATTTGTTCCCATATCTACCTGATAAGTGGGATAGGGAAATTGACAACATATGGTTGAAGGTCACAATTAGAGACAAGACTTTTACCTCAAGTTCATACAGTTCAAAATATGTTATGTATATATAACATAGAATACATTTTCTACCTATAAGAACACAGCATTCAGCATTCTTTTTTTGGCTTACATGTGTTATTTTCCTATGCTGCAAACTCAGTGTGCTCAGTTATTCAACAGGTACTTACTGCGGCCCTCCTGGGTGCAAGATAGACGGTATCCAAAACAGAAAGTGGGGAGGTGAGAACCAGTTGTTCAGGAAGGTAGAGAAGACTTGGGAAATGACAAGAGAATATATGGGAAAACTATAAATATAAAAGGCAAGAGATTTATGAAAACAAAAGGCAGAAATAATAGCAGAAATCTCTCTAGAGGGTCTACTCACATGAAACTGCTGTTTGGAGAACTAACTTGATAGGAAATTGTTCAGATACCTGAAAGTTTTTCTATTATTGTTGGCAAAGCATGCATCTTCTAATTTAAGGTACCAAGTGTTTAAAAGAGTGTACAGAATTGGAAAGTATAGAAGAGAAATTTAAATTCTTACCAGGTTCTGCAGAAATATCAAAGGAGTAGGATTTTTGTGTGAAGGAAAGATAATTGAATAAACACTGAAAACTATGCTTTTCTACTTAAGAAAACACTCTAATATTTAATAGTCTTGAAACAAACTTTTAATTAGCTAACAAATGGCTAATGCCAAAGAGAGCCAGCTGATAGCACTAATTCTATTTGAGATTTTAGTCATTTTTCTTTTTAATATGTGAGGAGAGACGGTCTGTCCTTTTAGAGCATTCATCTCTCCACTTACACACAAGTGATATTTTTGGCACTGGATACCATGGAAGTGGAAACTTGGATAATCTTGGAAGGGGGTCTGTCCACTGGGTTTGAAATTTAAAGAAAAAAAAATAAGAGACTGAAAGTGAGCAAGGGACCTTAAGAGGTGAGGAGGGGACTGAGTAAGGAAAACAATGGAAAGAAAACAGCAGAGTTCAGATCACGGGAGAGTAATAACAGCGTGTGTTTATAGTACATCTCTTCAAGAGCCCTCAGAGCTCAATACTGACATGGTCTCTGTGACACGCCTGTGAGGTAGGTGGCAACAGCTTTGTGGTGAGTCGACCTTTCATGGTGAGTGATCATAAACCAAAAGGAATATGAAGCTCCTTATTGACTTCTGAGTCTAAGTAGTCTAAATATTTAAATACTACAACTATTGGTTAGGAAAAAATACTGTCTACAACCAAAATTCATCCAGGTTTGCAATCTTATCATGATATTGTCAAAGAATATATCATATTATAGTGGTTGATTAATATTGATATAATACCTTCATGTGGAATCTAATAATATCACAGTACGGACACAAAACAGCTTGGGTTTTTTTTTAATTATGAATTTCAACCATGCTCCCTCAAATCTCTCTCTCCACTACTAATGATACCTTGACCAGATTTCATAACTTTCTCCTTTCTTATGGCTATCAAAATTTACTCCAAGCCACTTTAAAGTCTCAGTCTTACTTCTGATTCAAAGCATTCTCCTTCCCACCCGGATTAGACTCAAGATTCAAGGGACTTGGAATGGGAGTGAGACATGGTTTTTTGTTTTTTCTTTTTTTTCTTTTTTTTTTTAAATTGCATTTTAGGTTTTGGGGTACATGTGAAGAACATGCAAGATTATTGCATAGGTACACGTATGGCAGTATGATTTGCTGCTTTCCTTCCCTTCACCTATATCTGGCATTTCTCCCCATGCTATCTCTCCCCAGCTCCCCGCCCAACATTTCCCCCCAACAGACCCCAGTGTGTAGTGCTCCCCTCCCTGTGTCCAGTTTTTACACACTACTTTAGGTCCTATCCCCATATGTCTCTGGGCTGCAGTGTCAAGGACAAGGGGGAGGTCTGAAGAGAAAAAGTCCAGAGTCTCTTTGCTTAACTAGGAAAGGAATGGAACCCCCCTGAATGTTGTCCCTGCTTCTTTAGCTGGCTGTGGTCACTGATGCCCTCTGTGGCAACCTTCAGATGCTGACTCTCCAGTGAGTGCTGTGGGTAGGGTCTTGAGAGGGCCCTCTGGAGCCTTCTCCTCCTCCCCCACACAGCTTCCTCCACCTCTGGGGCACCCTATTGCCAATCACTGCCGAGAGTCCTCTCCTCAATAAAGGGATGATAAAAAGCTCACACAAAGCTCTCTTCTGTATAGCCTGCTCAATTCACAGATATGCCCTTACCATGGCACATCATGTGAGTGAGCGGGCTGCTTCACAGCCCCCCCACTCTCAGCCATGTCATTTCTCTACAGTTCTTTTTATTCCTGATCAGGTGGGCTCAGCAACAAATAAACAAGTGTTATTCCAAAACCAATGACCAGAGACCAAATCCAGTTACTAAAGCCCAAGCAAATAAGAACAGGTAAGATTCCAGTCTCCCCTTCTTACAGGCATCTCTGACTTTATGAGTGATTCTCTTGGAGCCCTACCATGACAAGGGACAGAACTCACCACAAAGACTGCACTGCGTATCTCATAAAGGAGAGCACTCTATGGATGGCCTCCTCCTCTCCTTCCCAGCCCTCTTCTTCTGTGGGCTGCGGGTGGGCATTGGTAGCAGTAGGATTGGCTCTGCTGCGTCATGATAGACTCTGAAGGGAGGTGTGTGATGCTGACTGCTGAAAGGTCCCTAGAGGCTCTCTTTATCCTATTCAACATTCCGTTACAGCCATTAAAAAATATTGTGTACAGGGATGTCCTGATACAGTCTCTTCATTTTCTGACAGACCTTGGTTGAATATGGAGCAAATGTCACCATGCAGAACCACGCCGGGGAAAAGCCCTCCCAGAGCGCCGAGCGGCAGGGGCACACCCTGTGCTCCAGGTACCTGGTGGTGGTGGAGACCTGCATGTCGCTGGCCTCTCAGGTTGTGAAGTTAACCAAGCAGCTGAAGGAGTAAGTGTCCTGTTGGTTCCATGAGAACCAAATCTAACTCATTATTGTTGTACTTAGGCTTCAGCCAAGTTTTGTGGTGAGCACTCCTCTCTGGTTGTACAGGGAATTCCTAGCATTCTCCTCTTCTGTTCTTCTTCCATCCAGAGTCCTCATAGCCAGTGTTCATGCTGAAGAAGCCATCTATGCAGAGGCAAAATTATATTTAAACAGCAAATGTACAGCAAGCTCCCTAAGAAAGGAATTCAAGCCAGTGGACAAGGAAAGAGAGCCTCTCTGTGTTCACACCTCAGGGCCAGATTACAGAGCGCTGGACACATTCGCAGGAATAATCTCCACACTTCTGTCCTTAATATTTTAGGAAATCATAAAGAACATGAGAGAAAGAGAAAGTCTAGAGGTGGACCAGTTTCTCAGTTTTCTCAAAAAAATAAAAAATGTGTGTTGGGGGGAAATTACAGATAAATAACTTGGTGACTATCACCAGCAAAATTATTATAAATATTAAATAGATGATTCATGAATCCTCAGAATAAAAAATAGTGCTCTGTCAGCATGAAGTTACTTAAAAGACTCCACGACTAGCTACAGTTAGTTCTTTCCTTGATAAGATTATTAAACTGGTACCCAGTGCATATCTAGATGTCAAGGAAGTATTACTGGGAGATTGTCATGCTTTGCTTAGAGAAAGAGGGCCCAGATGAAAGGTCATCATGTAGGCCTCTGGCAGGTCGAAGGACTAAGGAGTTAACACCTGCCTGAGGGGAACCAAGGTCAGCCATTGCAAAACTAACCCATTACATACTATTTTCCTGAAAATCAGAGTCAGTGTTCAAAGTAATGTTGACAGATTAGGAGGGTAAATCTTAAAAATTAAATTTTAGAGGGAAAATAATCTTACCTTTAAGTTTTATATACGCACACACACATACATTTTTTTTCTGAATACAGCTCATTTGAAAAAAGCCTTGGTTGGGTGAAAGACCTCAATTAATTATAATCCATGCATCAGTATGACCAGGCCTTGGACCCTCTGCCTCTTCTCTAAGCTTGGGGAAATCTCCCTTATCTCTCTTCTCCCACTCTTTTGACTTCGAGCTACAAGTCTCTGTGCCCCTCCACCCCTCCGTTTGTTAATACTAGAATAATTCCTTTAATGAGTTTAGACTTCTAGAAAAAATAAAATAAAATTTGAAACTTAAAAAGAAGGGATTACTGCCAAGTATCCTTGGCCTATTTGTACAAAACTTCCCCAGGTTTGGTGAGCCAGGTAAACCTAAAGGTCTCAATGCAATCACAGGGAAAATGCTCACAAATTAATAACTCAGTAAGCTGTCTTCCCACAGTGAACACACTTGTGCAAATTCCTTTGCAAAGATGTATAGATATTTCTTAAAACAAGTTCCTAGAAAAGGAATTGCTAGAGCAAAAGGCATCCATATTTAAAATGTGGATAGATGTCAACTAATATCTTTCCAAAAATGCTGTACTGATGTCTACTCCCTCTCGTAATGTATGGACATAGCTATAAAGAGGAACTGTATTCCAATGGAATGTTTGTTCTAAAGGTTCATACTCAGAGAAAAGATCACAAAATATTCTCCTTCTTCTCCATAGCATAGAATCTACAAAACTTTCACAAGCTGCAATCGCTGTTTTATTGGTGAACTGCTCAAGGTCAAAATCTTGGCTGCTCTCTCAGTTGGTGATCCTGGGATGAGTACACATATATGCTAGTAGACTACAGCCCTTCAGTTGTCTCCAGAGCAGAATGCTGTGGACACCTATAGTTGGGCCAGTAACAAGATGAACTAAGAGAGGGTACATTGTATACCCTAGTCTTTTACTTACTATATTTCAGTGAAGTTGGCAAAACTAGAAATAAATAGAGAAATCAGCTTAGTATAGCCACAGTATGCTGTGCCTTCAGGCTCCCAAAAATCAATAACATTGACAAGGACAGGAGAGAGGATGGAAAACACTAGTCCTCCTAGTCCAAAATTCTGGGGGAAGACAGTACTGAGTGCCTTTTCCAACCTTCAGCAACTCCTTAGACTTAATAAATATAGTTACTATTTAGAAATGGCAACCTTCAGCTCTACTGAAGTGCTAGTCAACAAGTCTAGGTATTATGGGTGTCTCCCTCAAAAAAGTATGTCAGAATGTGACGTTATTTGGAGACAGCATCTTTCCAGAAGTAATCAAGTTACAATGAGGTCATTAGGGTGGGTCCTATTCTGACTAGTGTCCTTATAATAGGAGAACATTTAGACACAGACATGCACACAGGGAGAACACCATGTACACCGGAATGCAGGGATCAGGATGGTGCATTTGCAAGCCAAGGAATGCCAAAGACTGCCAGAAAACCACCAAAAGCTAGGAGAGAGGCAAGGAATAGCTTCTCCTCACAGCCTTCAGAGGGAGTTAGCCTGGCCATCACCTTAATCTCAGACTTCCAGGCTCCAGAGCTGTGCAACAATTAAACTTCTGTTCTCTAAGCCACCCAGTTTGTGGTACTTTGTTACAGCAGCCCTATCGAACTAATACAAAGGCCATATGCCCATATATTTTCTTTTTTACAATTAAAGCTGACGAGTTCTTCCTGAGGGCTTCTATAGAATCCAGAGAGGAGTCTTCATTCTCCATTCATACCTGGGATTCAAGTTGTCAGTCAACCCCATTACCCCAAAATATTTTTCTTGACTGTGTCATAATTCACTTTAAGACATATTATAAACCCTTTAAAAGCAGACTCTAATCTTTCTTCGTCTGTTTCATTCCCTCAGTACATATTTTTCTTGAAAATGTGCCATGCAATAACAGCTAGCAAAATGAGAAAAGTAGAATGTTTTTATGTATTTTTCGTTTTTATTTTTTCATTAGACCAGAATCAGCAAATTAGAGACTGTGGACCAAATCCAGCCCATCAGCTGTTTTCATAAATAATATGTTATTGGAACACAGTCACACACATTCATTTGTCCATTGTATAGGACTCATTTCTTGCTGCAAAGGCAAGTTGAGAAGTTGTGATACAATTGTATGGCTCACAGCCTAAAATATTTACTATTTGGTTATTTAAGAAAACGTTTGCTTTCTTGTTCCCACATTAGGCAATTACATTTCAGTAGGTGAATCTGGAAGAATGAGTGAGATAAAATGAGATCACAGACTTCTCTGGTCTTAGTGATTAAATGTTTGGACTAAAACTGACATCTTCTGAGAAAAACAAAGTGCTTGGGGCGTATAGAAGGATATTAGCAGAATCCGATCTCACAGAATTAGATTTAGGCAGTTAATTGTTGCTGATTATATGCAGTGACACTCAACAAGGAGAACACTGGGCTTCCTCAAGCCAATATCTAAAGTGCAGCAGTCATTTTAAGAACATTTATGATATATTTATTTAGTTATATGTCCTGGCATATGAGGACTGCTGTCATTTTTTTCTGCTAATTGTATTATTATAGTAGTTTTCTGTTGCTCTGTAACAAATTACCATAAGATTAGTGGCTTAAAACAGCACAAATTTATCTTACAATTCTGCGAGTCAAGCCAAACCAGGTGGGACACATCTGTAGTCCCAGCTACTTGGGAAGCTGAGGCGGGAAAATCACTTGAACCAAGGACTTGCTATGCAAGTCCAGCCTAAGCAGCATAGCAAGACCCTCTCTCTAAAAAAATTTTAAATTAAAAAAATTTTTAATTCAAACAATTTAGGAAAAGTAAATGACATTTTGAAGTATATCCTTCCATATTTTCTATTATTTTATATATTAAAAAAAACTAAGTCTCTCCTACTCATATATATGTCAAATGCATTTAATACACCTAACCTGTAGAACATCATAGCCTAGCCTAGCAACCTTACGCATGCTCAGACCACTTACATTAGCCTACAGTTGGGCAAAATCATCTAATATAAATTGTACTTTATGATAAAGTATTGAATATGTCATGTAATTTATTGACTACTGTACTGACAGTGAGAAAAAATGGTTATATGGATACGTAAAGTACAGTTTCTACTGAATCCATATCACTTTCTCACCACTGTAAATTTAAAAAATCACAAGTTGAAGTATAGTAAGTCAGGGATCGTATGTCTACTGCACATATTATTTTGTAATTTCCTTTTTTATTTAATGAAAGCGAAGTAGACTTCACATATACATATATATATGACATTTTGAAGTATATACTTCCATATTTTCTATTATTTTATATATTAAAAAAAACTAACTCTCTCCTACTCATATATATGTCAAGTGCATTTAATACACCTAACCTGTAGAACATCATAGCCTAGCCTAGCAACCATCATAGCCTACCTAGCATACACATATATATATATGCTTTATACTTTATATAGACCTAATTGGGGAAACTTTTTCTATGTCCATAGATACTCAAATAGTTTATCATTTTAATAGCTAACATTATAGAAATAACTATAATTTGTTTACTCAGACTTACTGATAAGCATTTCGGTTATTTATAGTTTTTCATTAATATTGACAATAAATATCTTTTTGGGGTACTTTTGATAGTTTCCTTAGGAAAATTTCTGAACTGTAAGGATGAAGATTATGGACACTTTTAAGGCTTTTGTATTTATGGCAACTTACTAGAAATTATTATGAAAAATTTATACCCCCTCATTTATAGCAGTAGCCAGTATCAGAGAGCTCATGTGCTTTGGTTGTTTCTCCAGACAAACAGTAGAACGTGTCACACTGCAGAACCAACTCCAGCAATTTCTAGAAGCCCAGAAATCAGAGGGCAAGTCACTCCCTTCTTCACCCAGGTAATACCAGGCACATTGGTGTTTAGCGTTCTTAAGTATCCAAAATTGTTAAGCCTTCTTCTGAACTTCCTTTGATATATTTTAAGAGGATGATAACAGAAAACATTTTCTTCTTATAAAGAGGAATAAAAATGAAAAATCGCAGTGAAAAAGGCATTGGACCTAGGGTCCGAAGACCTGGTCTGTTCTCTCATTCTGCTATTTCTTCATTCCATGACTATAAACAAGTCATATACTCTTTTGTAAGAATTGAATCTTTCAGTTCTTCATCTGTGAAATTGGAATAATATATATATAGCTTGATAAGTTTGTTGAAATGGAATTAACTGAGAAAATTGATGCAAAATTGATGTATAAACAGTAAAACAGACAAATTTAGTAGTCACAGTAGTTATAGCCAAAGGCATAGGCACCTTATGACTGATACTATGGAGTCTTTGCACATTGTTTTGAAAAGACATTAAGTACTTATTTGCATTCTGTTCTTATTTACTTGTACATTGTTAGTGGCAGTAAAGGCCACGCAGTGACTTGTGGCTGAGTCATTTCAACCCAGTAGGAAATCATCTCATGTGTCCTTCATTCTCTTTTTAGTTCACCATCCTCACCTGCCTCCAGAAAGTCCCAATGGAAATCTCCAGATGCAGATGATGATTCTATACCCAAAAGCAAGCCAGGAGTCCAAGAGGGGATTCAGGTTCTTGGAAGCCTCTCAGCCTCTAGCCGGGCTAGACCCAAAGCAAAAGACGAAGATTCTGATAAAATCCTACGCCAGTTATTGGGAAAGGAAATCTCAGAGAATGTCTGCACCCAGGAAAAACTGTCCTTGGAATTCCAGGATGCCCAGGCTTCCTCTAGAAATTCTAAAAAGATCCCACTGGAGAAGAGGGAACTGAAGTTAGCCAGGTTGAGACATCTGATGCAGAGGTCACTGAGTGAGTCTGACACAGACTCCAACAACTCTGAGGACCCCAAGAACACCCCAGTGAGGAAAGCAGACCGACCAAGGCCACAGCCCATTGTAGAGAGTGTAGAGAGTATGGACAGCACAGAAAGCCTGCACCTGATGATCAAGAAACATACCTTGGCATCAGGGGGACGGAGGTTTCCTTTCGGCATCAAGGCCTCCAAATCCCTGGATGGCCATAGCCCATCTCCCACCTCAGAGAGCAGTGAACCAGACTTGGAATCCCAGTATCCAGGCTCAGGGAGCACTCCTCCAAACCAGCCTTCTGGTGACCCTCCACAGCCCAGCCCTGACAGCACTGCAGCCCAGAAAGTTGCCACAAGTCCCAAGAGTGCCCTCAAGTCTCCATCTTCCAAGCGCAGGACATCTCAGAACTTGAAACTGAGAGTTACCTTTGAGGAGCCTGTGGTGCAGATGGAGCAGCCTAGCCTTGAACTGAATGGAGAAAAAGACAAAGACAAGGGCAGGACTCTCCAGCGGACCTCCACAAGTAACGAATCAGGGGATCAACTGAAAAGGCCTTTTGGAGCCTTTCGATCTATCATGGAGACGCTAAGTGGCAACCAGAACAATAATAATAACTATCAGGCAGCCAACCAGCTGAAGACCTCTACATTGCCCTTGACCTCACTTGGGAGGAAGACAACAGATGCCAAGGGAAACCCTGCCAGCTCTGCTAGCAAAGGAAAGAATAAGGCTGTAAGTGCTATTTGGAGAATATTATTTTTCTTCCTTTGAATTGATTTTGTTGTTCCTAATACCACAGATTGTTGGCCCATGCTTCCTCGAGGGAATCCCCAGAAAAATAGCCAGAGGGATGCATGGAAAGCCAAATTCATGTGTCTAATGAGACACGTGATGTTAGATACATACCCCTTGCTCTTCTTTTGGAAAATAAGAGAAAAAGGTTAAAAAAGTCATAAGAGATTATATTCTGGTCCTTAAATTTCCCTAAATGGCATAATCTTTAGGTGTTAGGGGTCCTAGACTGGGTGGCATTTCTGGAAGATGAAATCACCAATCAGTGCAAGTTTAGTCTTACATTGGCACTGATTCTGACCCAAGGAAGAGTTTGTTCTCTTCATGTGATGGGATAGTTTATTCTCAGGCCCAATTAAAAAGCACGTAAATGGAAACTCTATTTCTAAAGACTTAACTACACAACTTTGGGATGACCTTTGAAATGGAATACACCACAGGGACCTCCACATAGGTGTTTTACAACACAGACCCCCTAAGTGTTGATTGGAGCCTATAGGAGCTCGAAGTGCTTTCCAGCCCACAGGGGATGGCAGAGTGTGCCATGAACTACATTTTATAATTGCCTTTATTGGAAACCCATGCACAATAATCGGTGATTTATATCCAGTGGATAAGAGATATGAACATCTTTTTAGGAAATGTTTCCTGCAAGCTTTGTGCTTGCCACGCCATTAAAAAATGGTATAGCTGCCAAAATGCAAAACTCTGTGGAATGGAATGACCTAGATCATTCACCATGTGATCCAGATAAACCACCCAGTGGAGCTGCAGAATCTTTGTAATTTATCATTAGCTATAACGTTAAAATCCCATTACAGTGAGGTCTAAGAATTGTCTGAATTCTTTTTTCAGTACCCAAATCAAGTTTTAGTATTTCTCTAATTAATTGAACACCAATTTTTAAATTATATATCGATTTCTTCTGTAAATTGTCCTTGTTATAGAAGACTTTATCCTGTATTTGTTTCAGCTGGAAAAGGCATACTTGTGCCCAAAACACCAGACCTTTTGAGTTAAATGTGTCAAAACTTAGGTCAGTCAAATAAAACTTTTCCAGGTAACTTACTAGGTTCTGCTGCTCAGTAGTAAAAGAAGAATCATCTCAGTTGCCCATGCTCCTTAAAGTGCATGCTAAGCCACTGTCCTCTATCTTCCCGCATGCTTCATGTTTATTGGGTCTTGTGCATGTGCTGAGCTTGTTGCATGTTTTCAGATGATTTTTAATTGCACCTCTCTAGGAAATGTACAGCAGCTGCATCAATCTTTCCTCTAACACGCTGATTGAAGAGCATCTGCGTAACTACGCACGGTACGTGGTGCTAGGAGATGTGTTATGCAGCATTTCCATGCTTTGCTTTGAATTGCATGAGCTTTTTATTCATGGACTTGGGGCACCTTTCAGCAGGGGATAACACCAAGGAAGAAGAAAATTGCAACCATTTTTCCAAGTAGTAGCAGGCACAGATGTAATGGTAACTAGGTCTTAGGTCACTAGTCAGCCCTTGGAGGGCTTTATTCCAGCGTCAGCCACAAGAATCTTCTCAGTTCACAAAATTTTGCTCTATTTCCTAGTTGACTTTGGCTTTCAATCTTTATTTTAATGGAGTCAAGTACCAAGAAAGTATTGAAATTAAATTTCCTGTCATGGTAGAAAGAGTCAACCTCCAATCAGAATCGGAACTTCGAAACAGAGCTTGAATTTTATTTTAGTGCTGATTATAAACCAAAAGCTCCTTTCGTCACCATTCTGCTGATCTCAGGAGAAGCAAGGGCTTGCCTTTCTGAAATTTCTCTATGAACACAATTTCAGTCCATGAGCCAGGTTTATGAGTGCCCAGTAATAAAACAAGAGTCTTTCTCAAATAAAATGTTTACAATTCAAAATGCATGGACAACATCACACAGAAAGGAGAGAATCGAGTCCCCAATGACTGGGCCACCTCCTTGGGCAAAGTCCTTCTGCAGCATAGCTTTCATCTCTCTGTGGAATGAAACCAGTGTGCCGTGATTGCTTTATTCCAAAGTAGTTACATCCCTAAACCCATTTTAAAAGACTATCACTTTTTTTTTTTGGAGACAGTCTCGCTCTGTCACCCAGGCTAGAGTGTGATGGTGTAATCTTGGCTTACTGTAACTTCTACTTCCTGGGTTCAAGTGATTCTTCTGCTTCAGCCTCCTGAGTAGCTGAAATCACAGACCTGTGCCATCACGTCTGCCTAATTTTTGTAATTTTAGTAGAATGGGGTTTTGCCATGTTGCCCAGGCTGGTCTCAAACTCCTGGCCTCAAATGATCCACCTGCCTCAGCCTTCCAAAATGCTGGGATTACAGGAGTGAGCCACCACACCCAGTCATAAAAGGCTATCATTTTTTAAAATATTTAAACTAATTGAAAAATTATGACATGCCATTCAGCACTCTTCCAGGATCCTCCAATTAATGTATCTGGGTAGGTGGATGGGTGGATGGGTGGCGGTGGGGGTGGGAGCATTTGTGTGTTGTGGGTATGAATTTTAGTTGAGAATACTAAGTTGTAAGAAAATCACTCTCCTTTTTTCCCCGCTCTAAATCAAATTTAATCTGCTCTAGGTCTTTGTTCAGGCTGGAGGGAAATTAAATCTCAGTCATTTTAGGGGATCCCCCTAGGGGGCTCATTAATTCAGTATGTTAAAGGAAGAACCTTGGAGCTTCAATATTTACTGGTCACCAGTGGTCTGCTTGGGTCAGTCTCATGTGTTGCCAGAAGCCAGGCGTCTGAACTGCTTCCAGCCACACCAGGACAGGGAATCTTGGCCAGTGCTGAGACCCCAGTGCTTGGGGTGGAAAAGGAATAGAAAAAAATACTCATTCCCTTCCTTGACTTCGATATTAGCCCACTTGTATTTCATCTCTCCTAACCTGAGTTTCCCACCCCTATTCCCTTCTCTGTCCACATCTTGGGAGGAATGTGTTTTCTAGTGCCTGGAAAATTCTGCTCTTGTCCTTAAACAGAAGTTACCAGCAACCCCCTGAGGCAAGAAAGCACAAAGAGTTGGCAAACTCCTTGGGAAGGGGAAGAATACCTCTTATTTCTTCCAGGCTCCTGCAGCAACAGGGAGCAAGACAATTAGTATCACAGCAGATTCTCCTGCCAGAAATATTTCATTCTGTCTTTGTATAAGCAAGGGAACAAAGCTGAGACATATGTTATTATAGGATTACAAAAATCAGAGCACAAAATGAGCTTATGGGGCTACTCAGTTATCTGACACTAGGTTAACACTTTCCCTTTCTAAGCTTAAGGAAAAGTCCTTCTAAAAGCTCAGTTTAGAACCTGTTGGATTAACTGGCTTTATTTATTAACAGAGTTTAACTTTAGCAATAAATATTTAGAAACTCCAAAATAATTCAATGTATTTAAATAAACATCTTGACCCCTTCCCCTCATTACCCTGTAAATTGACCCATACTTTATCATGGCTGTAATTTGGCATGTGTGTCTGTGTAAACTGGGAACCTTAGTTCTTTCATGCTAGAAAGGAGAGGTTTCACTCACTCGTAATCACAAGAGAGAACTAAGCTGGTTCACTCCTTAGATAAAGCAAGAATGGATCCCTCTGGCTGAAATAAAGATTCCTCTGATAAATTAAGACTAGAGTGAAAATGTTGGCCTGAAAAATATCCAGACCTGCCTCATTTTGCCTGTGGGACTCCACTGCAAGAAGGAAAGGAACTAAGTGTTCATCTCTCAGCGATGACTCCAAATCTTGGTCCCCAAATTTGCTTGACCACCAAATGGCTCCTCTGAGGTAGCAGGGATGCCCGGGCTGATACGACTTTGGAAACCAGTGGCAGTCATGGGGATGGAGTTGGGGCCAGATGTTATTGCCTCTGCATTGCCCTATCAGCATAATCCTGGGGGAAAGAGTAAGGCAATGGATCCCAGTTCCAGGAATACACTGGAATTACATTTAGTTCCTAAGAAATTGTTATTTTTTTCCGATAAAGGAAAAATAAGGACAATAAATATAACATATTAAAGAAAGTCTGCTCTGTGAGGGTTCTATTTGCTATTTATTTTCCTAAATTGGTCACAGTTTGATAGCAAAGAATCTAAATTTCTTTTCAATGCCCTTTAAAATTGGATTCAACTCTATTCCTTTGAGCAGCTTTCCCAGTGTGATTCAACTGCAGGGGATCACTTGGATTATAATAATCAGATTTATCTTTACCCTACAAAGCACAAGTTGTTTTTAGGTTATTATAATTCCAAGGAAATTGTTGCAATTATTTGTCTTAAAATGGCAGTGAAATATTCATTCCCAGAGTTTAAGTCCATCTCCAATCCGCACAAAGTGAGCATTGATTCCAGTTACTGATAGGCAAAGGGCGTAACCCCTGCCGCCGCCAGTAACACCCATTTTGACCACAGTGGCACAGTTGCCTGAGGGGTTAACATCAGGAAACCCCTAATCCTAGCACCAGCATTAGCATGGACACCTTGAAAATCATAAAGCAATAAACACTATTAGTGTGGGTTTTACTGCCAGGGAATTAGCCAGACTGGTAATTGTATATCAGGAGCCAAGAGCTGGTATCAAATATTTTGCATAGTTCTTAAGGTTGTTCAGCAGCCACTTCAAAGAGACAGGTCTGTTTCGCCAGTAGTGAGATGATATCCGCTGTGGTAATGGTCATCTGCTGTGCCCATTAGAGGGTATCATTCCCCCACCCCTAACACACACAAACACACATTTCTGTCCTTATTGCCAGGACATCACACTAAACAGAAAAAGATGTGGAAGACATTGGGAAGTCAAGGTGAGGCCATGCCTGAAACCTGCTCCCAACCAGAGCATAGCCCAAGCCCCACTAAAAAGGATTTCCAGAATTATGATGCAGCCAGTGCAACAAGACCCTGATTCTGCTGAACAAATGTGTCCTTGCTATCATTTCAATATATATGATCAAATAACTCTATGTTAATCTTGCCTTCATTTTTTGACCTTAAAGTGTTAACATATTTTTAACCCATATGCTTGATTCTTGAAAGGATAATGATAAAATTACTCAACCCTGTAGGTGTGTTACCAAACTAATATATGTTGAGTGCATCCTTCTAGAGACAGACAAATCTTACCAATGCAACAGTTCACAGAAGTTTATTAAAAGTGCTGTTATTGAAAAGGTATTTAGTAAAGTAGTTAGTGCCTAACACTGTAGACATTTGAGTTTTTGCTCAGAAACTGTAGGTGTTTTGTTTTGTTTTGTTTTTTGTTTTGTTTTTAAGACAGGGTTTTACTCTGACACCCCAAACTGGAGTGCAGCAGCGTGCTCTTGGCGCACTGCAACCTCTACCTCCCAGGCTCAAGCGATTCTCCTGCCTCAGCCTCCTGAGTAGCTGGGGTTATAGGTGCATGCCACCACACTGGGCTAATTTTTGTATATTTGGGAGAGATGGGGTTTCCATGTTGGCCAGGCTGGTCTTGAACTCCTGAACTCAGATGATCCACCTCAGCCTCCCAAAGTGCTGGGATTACAGGTGTGAGCCACTGCGTCCAGCCTGTAATTTCATGTTCTAAGCCCTGAACAGAAGTATAATTTTCTGTTTTTGTTTCTAACTTACTGGCACCAGGCTCCATGCCCAATAAGCAAAAGTTGAAAGGCAACAGCCAGGTACCTGAAGTTAGGTGATTGCCTCTGTTCCAGACACTCCTAGAGCGGCGCTGACCCTCCCAGCTCCCATAGTTCCCAGGTACTCTGTGCTCTCCCCGCAATGTACTCCAGGTACTAATGCTTCCCCAAGTGTTCTGTCTCTACTGCTCCCCATCCCCCACCACCACCAACTCCTTCTCACTCTCTCTTTTTCCCACCTCCTCATCCTTCCTTAGGTGTTCTATGTTCTCTGTACAACTCCTGTCCTGCTCATACCCACCTCAGCCTTGCCTAGAGTTTCAAAGTATTTTCAGAAAGAAAACCCTCATTTCATACTGTAACTTGGAGAGGAGGAGGAGGCTCTAAACTTGAACTATTTCTTTACATGAATTAAGTGACAGTTCCTTCTTTTAAATGGGCCTGAGTTTGGGGTTTCCATTGACCATTGATTAAAGGAAACTGTTGCTAATAAGGCAGAGTCTTGTGTATAAAGAAAAAATGTCCATGTTATGAGAAGCCAGAATGATCATATCTTCCCAGTGTCTAAGCACAATTTAGCAAAGTCCTTCTATGGGCTGGCAGAGTTCCCAAGACTGATGGACAAATGGGATGTCTTTTCATAAGCCCCTTACACTGGGAAAAGGAGAAAGCAGATTGTAGCACAGGAAGACAGTGA